TATAAAAGATAATAATAAGAAATAATAAAAACAAGAAACTGTGGAATGTTTGTCGTGTTAGTGTGTTCTTTTAATGGTAAAATATCTCTCATATTTTGGTGATTGATGCATTTCTGAAAATGTGCATTTTAAAGATGTATATATTGCAAATAACAATTACAAAATATTAAGTAAACTTTTAAAAGAACAAAAAAGAGGACAACTATTTTTATTAAGTTGTTACCGGATGCATAATTTAAAATAGGTGAACAATCCCTTTAAATAGCATTCAACAAGATTTACGTCTTGAATTTATTATTATTAGATTCGTTCTATGCAAGGTCTATTATTTGCTCATTATGTAAACCATCAAGGAAATCTATATACACGATTTAAAACAATTATTAAACCAGGAAGCAGGGAGTATACAAGATGAAATAAACTAAGATAATAATGATACTTCACCTGAATGTATCTCTCTCCTCCTCGGCAGATTTGAGTTTGATTTCTGTGAGGGAGAGCTGAAAAAGACCAGAATTATTTTTGGAAGAAATATAAAAATTGCCTTGAAACAATTTTTTTAAGTTAATATTTACAAATTATCTTTTGCCCTGGTCATAATCTGAGTCCATTTCTTTCTCATTTTTTTATTTTTTCATTACAAATTTATTTTATATTTAAATTTCTTTCTTTGTTACTTATTAACACTTTTTCATGTTGATTTTATATTTATTATATCGTTAGAACTGAACCCCGACCAAAATATATTTTAAAAAATGTGGAAATATAACGCACGTACATTTGATTTACACCGAATTTAAAATTTTTATTTTATTTTTTTGTTGCCTCTCAAAGTAAAAAAAAATAAACAAAAAATAAGATGTCTGTTTTATTTATCAGAATAAGATGTTTTCTATATAATTCGAAATCACTTTTGAAAAAAATTAACAAATGTTTTTTATTATTTTTGTCTAGTTCATTATTATTGATATATGTTATTGAAGCTATTGCAATTATGTAATAATTACAATTTTTCGCCGGTTTTTATTCTGTTATTTTAAATTAATCTTTAAAAAAGATGAGTTGAAGTAATTTTGATACCGGAAACCCGAAATTAATTGACAGTTGATCAGACGACTTTACATATATACATATCTCTGGAAGTTTTAAATGCTCAAAAAAGGCAGACCACAATTTGGAAATGACAGAACTAGGGCTATTATCTGAATATCGTTTCATCAATTATATTTGTAAAATTAGATTAAGTCTTTCTGATTAGAACTGTGCAATACTTTGTTGTAGGAAAAGTAGTATTTATTCTCTAATAGAAAATAACACTAGATGAAGGATTTGAAGAATTTGAAGGGTATCGGTCTAAATGAATAATCACTTCAAATCCTTCTTATAAAAAGATAAACAAACAAAGAGTGCATCAAAAGCCATGAATTGCAATATTGTATTTCACATAATTGTACATATTTTCAATCCTCATTCTTGTACAATTTCAACAGAAAAAACTCAAATTAAAATTATAGGATTTACAAAGATGATGTAAAATTTATTATTACTACAATATACAAGTAACAAAATCAATTAAGATTTTAAAAATGTCTGATGTGAAAAAGTGTATTAAGAATTCAGTATATTCCATCTTCCATCTTTAACTGTATATATTTCAGTTTCCATCTTTTACTGTATAGAAATATGAATGAAAATTTATTGCATGTATTTTAAAAAGTAGAAATTTGTCATTTTCACACCATTAGAATATAATATGCAAAAATTGCATACTGTTACAAACAAATTATTCAATTAAGGATTTTTACAAAAATTTCTTACAATTAAGATTTTCTGTGTCAACTTTATAAGGAACCATGAGTTCTTGTGACTAACTCTAATTTTCAAATATATATATATGGTGTAAACTTTTGATATTTGAAACTTAAACTATTGGATGTAATAGGATATATAATCTAAAATATCAAAGTTTTACGACATTTGGTTGCAAAGATTGAAGGATTAGAAAATCTGAGTTTGTGGCGAAAACTTAATTCCTTTGAACCAACCAAATTTTAATCAGCCTTTAAGTGTACTTTTAGTGTACTTTTAGTGTACTTTTAGTATACTTTTAAATCTAGAGAAAAAAAATCATTCATTTCTAACTGCTTCCTTTAAATTTCATGCTCGCTGAGACCGGATTTATTGAATTTGAGCCAGGTATATAGAGACGGTTCAAGACCACGTTTATCTTGAATCAGAATTTAAAATAAGTATTTGAATAGATGGTAAGTTGTTGAGCGACTTAGCTCAAATTCACTAAAGGAATTGAGTCTTTGATACAAACTCAGATTTTCTAATACCTAAATCTCTGTAACCCAATGTCGTAGACCTTAGATATTTCAAACTATGAATTCTGTTGCATCAAATTATCTTAGTTTGAAATAACAAAAGTCTACAACATCAGGTTCCATAGATATAGGGATTAGAAAATTTGAATTTGTGGAAAAGACTTAATATCTTAATATCCCTGATTTTTTTTTGTTAAATTTCAACCCCCCCCCCCTCCCATTCATCCAATTCTGTTCTGTTAAAATATTTCGTGACTGGATATTCATATTGTTTATTGTTTATATAATGGTATACACACTACACAGTGACATTCTTTAGTATTTCATAACTTTCATAACCTTTTTTACATACAATGTATATATATATTAAATATATCATATTAAAAATGTACATAAGAATGCATAATTATGCATTTGTGAGCTTATTTCATATTAAACGCGTATTACACGCTTCTATGAGTTCTTTTTCTGGAATCCTATATGACCAATTATCAAGGTGTTTTGGTACATATTAAAAAAATTGAGTCTTTGGAACAAAATCAAATATTTAAACCTCAATATCTTTAGAACTCGATGTTGTAAACCTTTGATATTTCAAACTCAGATTATTTGATCTAACCGAATTCATCGTTTGAAATATCTAAGGTCTGCAACATTTGGGTTCAAAGATATAGTGATTAGAAAATCAGAGTTTGTGGCAAAGACTCAATTCCTTTAGCTTGGAAATATTCTGCTATTTAATGTTTCTGAGGGTTTATTGTTTATAGAAATACAGTAGTGACCAGAAAATAGTGGAAATATTGACGTATTTTTTCTCTTTTCATTCTGGAAAACCACACTAATGGTTTTGGGATTTTTGCTATTAAACGTTTGAAGATGTTCAGAATTTAGAGCTTTTGCGTCATAAATCACAGGATCAAGCATTGATCTTCATCATAGGCAGACCTTTGGATTAATTTAATTCTTTTTTGATATCCCGTGGTGACGGTGTTCATACCCAGCATTAATTGAAGGATCAAACAAAAAATTCAAATCAAGGGCGGCTTCAGGATTTAAGATAGGGGTAACCTTCCCCCCCTCTATTGCTAAAAAGTTCTATTTACCCTACTAAAATTACAGTTTCTTTTACCTTTTAACGATAAAAAAATATTATGGATTGAATTTTATGCATTAACTTTATACATATCATTATTATTCTAATGAGGGAAGAATTATTTTTTATTTCCTGCTATTATATTATTGAACTTTTAGTAAATAATATTACAGAAATCATGCTAATTTTTCTTGCAAGAGACTACAAAAGTATACCATAAGAAGGATAAAAGTAAAAAAAGGAATTTTTGTTTAAAATAAAAAAAAAATTCCTCCCTTCTTCCAATCAACGATAATATAGTTTTCTTGGGCCGCTTGAAATAAAGACGTTTAAAACACTGTTTTTCTAAATTGAGGAAAGCCTCTTTGGGTGCATCGCCATTCTTTTCAGCTTGACCAACTTGTTGGTGGTCATATCTAACCTTTTCCAGGTCAAAAGCCTTCGGAGTAATGACATTATAAAAATAGAGGGGTGTTCACCCCCCCCCCCTAATTTCACTCAGGAGGGACTTCCAACCCCCCTCTGAAGCCGCCTATACCCACATTGGATATCGAGATCATGATTTTCAGATTAACGATACACAACACAAAAGTTCTTATCTCAAGAAACCTTCTAGGAGATAAGTAAATTCAAATATCAATATTTAAAGATACATTTCATAATACAATAGAAGAATTAAAACATTACAACGTTTTCTGGTTGCTATCATAGTCTAAAAGCTATTATACTGTTTAAATATACTTACTTAGCATCAGTCAGATGAGTGTATGCATTCTCACTATTGGCATGCCGAGTAGCCCTAGACAATCTCAATTCTGATCTGAGAGGGTGTAGTGCTACTCTGCATAGCACTGGTGAGAGTGCACACACTCTCATCTGACTGGTGCTACTCTGGATAGCATTGGTGAGAATGCATCTCGTCTGACTGGTATTTATTTATAACAGTGTATTTGCAGTCAATGTCCTACCTTGCTCATAATTTCCCTCATTTCTTCCTCTCTTGTTTTTGCTTCGTCTTCCTTCTGCTTGAGCTGGCGTTGAAGTTTCTCCAAGCTCTCGCTGGTCTTATGCAGGTCAACCTACAAACATTCTTATTTTGAGCTAAGCACAACATTTTTTAGTTCGATTTGAAATTTACGTTTTATTTAAAATTTTTACAGAATCATCGTTTTTTTGTTGTTTTGATTTGAAACATTTTCTAAAATTTTACACGCTCAACAAGAAAATGGTTTCGAAGCAACTTTTTTAATTTTGACCTTGCTTTTGACTGAATTCTTTTCATATTGACCTTTTCTTGACCTCTACTGAACAACCTTGACCTCTACTGAACAACCTTGACCTCTACCGAACAACCTTGACCTTTAATTGAACAACCTTGACCTTTAATTGAACAACCTTGCCCTCTACTGACCTCAAGTTTGAGCTTTTCATTGTTATCTGATCCACAAGCAATACAGCAACCTTTTGCTTCCTTCCTCAGCAGATCATGCAGCAGTCCTCTTAGCTCCTAAATATACAACCATGATATTGTATTGTAAAAATTACAATGTATATCTCTGGTGTCTGTTATTTGTCTGATTGTTTGTTAGTTTCTCTGGATGTCTTTTTGTTTGTCTGGATGCCTGTTAGTTTGTCTGGATGTCTGTTAGTTTGTCTGTTAGGGTGCCTATTATTTTGTCTGTTTGACTCCTGAGGCGGAACTCTGTAGTGACTGAACTGCAATGTTTAACAAATTACAGATATTCGGGGACTCGTTTATTCTTGCTGGGATCCATTTATTCTTCATTTATTATACATTCATTATACATTCATTCATTCTTTATTCATTATACATTCCTTCATTGTACATTCAGTATACATTCATTCATTCTTCATTCATTCATTCTTCATTCATTCATTCTTCATTCATTCATTCTTCATTCATTCATTCTTCATTCATTCATTCTNTCATTCATTCATTCTTCATTCATTCATTCTTCATTCATTCATTCTTCATTCATTCATTCTTCATTCATTCATTCTTCATTCATTCATTCTTCATTCATTCATTCTTCATTCATTTTACATTCATTCATTATACATTCATTATACATTCATCTAACAAAATTCATAGTTTGAAATATCTAAGGTTTACAACATTGCGTTGCAAAGATATTGGGATTAGAAAATCTGAGTTTGTGGCAAAAACTCAATTCCTTTTGTTTTCTTTTACCTGGAGAACAGCTGTTAATGATCCTGGTCTAAGCTGCTGACCATCCTCGCTGCTGCTACAGCTGCTCGTCTCTAAGCTATCGCCGGAGCTACGCCGCTGCTTCCCCCTCTGTCGAACCAACAGCACGAGGTTTCGTAGCTAAATATTTTTATGATTCAAAGATTTTAAAGTTTAATAATTTATCATAATTTCTAGATTCACTGACTAAAGGTTGCACATCTGCAGGGAAGGTTAATTACTAAAGATATACATTATACATGGATATGACCTCCTCCATTAGCAGGTCAGGTCAGTCAGGCTGGTCAAGTACCTGATGATATGCAGAAACGACCTCCTCCTTGAGGTCAAATATAAAAGAAAGGTCAGGGGAGGTCAATTACCTGATGATATACTGAAAGGACCTCGTCCTTGAGGTCCCCAATGTCTAGATGTGAGCGTGAGGTGAGGTCAGGATGATCATATTCAATATCCTCGAGATCCTCGTCAATATTACTGAACGGTCTGAATATTAAATATATCATAATATATAACTTTTAAAATGTGTACAGTGATAACCAAATCAATCTGGAATAGGAAGCCGACTTTTAAACTCAAGTTATGACTTAAAATAGTCTAATAAACATAAAACATATCTCGACCATGCAGTGCAAGCAGACTAATTTCACTTAATAAGAAAATTTGCAAGTTATTATTAAAACTATTTGCTTTGTAACAACATCAAATACACTAAATTATTGATTTAATGTCGTCTCCCTTATCCACAGTTGTCTGGTTCTCACTGTAATAGCATAAATATATAGATTAAGTTTACTAGGCTTTCAATTCTCTTAAATGTCTGATTTTTTCTTTGTAAATTTCGCGGATTTTTCTGGCTTTTAACCTGAATGGAATTCTTAAATTTCAATAAGTCCAATTTTTTCAAGCACAATTTTTCAAATTCAGAATTTTGGATACCAACATTCAACAAACAAACAAATAGAAAGACAGGCAAATAATATACAATATATATCTAGATTATTATCAATATTTAACTTATTAATATACTGATAGTAAAGCAATAAACAAAAAAGTAAAACTAAACTTTTTTTTATTAAACTGAGCATTGCCATCTGTATTATATACATAGTTTAAAATTATAATTTATGTAGATATATATTTCTATCTAACGATAGGTTTTCAGAACATCGCAGCACTCCTAAATCTTAGAACACTATTCAGGATGTTGCCCCCCCCCCCCTCCTTGTTTTCCGCCCTTATTCCTAGGTTTATATACTTATATGGACTCATGAATTCCTTGCATCTGTGTAAACACAATTTGTAAATTCAAATTTAAATCAAAATATTTATAAAACACCCATTTAAAATGCCTTAAAATGCTTTTATAGTTTAAAAAGTTTAATGTTGGAAAATCTTATTTTCGAACCCTTATATCATATGCAACTGCAGATAATGGAAATCATGAAATCTGTCAGCACAATTAGTCAAAATAATCAGGTATCAAATGTACTTAAGAGGTACTTTGTACAGATTGTTCTCGAAAGGTAGTTTTAAAAAACATGTGGCGAGCAATGTTTCTTTGTACATCATAAAAATATTGAGTTAGTTCGCTGAACCACCTAAACGCCGTGAAGTTTACTTCTACAGGACATGGACAAACTCCAAATCATCGATTCAAAATACGTGGTTGAACCGTCTTCAGATCTAGCTCAAATACGTGGTTGAACCGTCTTCAGACCTAGCTCAAATACATGGTTGAACCGTCTTCAGACCTAGCTCAAATACGTGGTTGAACCGTCTTCAGGCCTAGCTCAAATTTATTTAATGAAGATTTTTTCCTAAACTTTTTAACAATGTTTGTCTAAGAAAGAAACCATAGGAAGGCGTAATTCTGAATGCACAAATGTACAAAATATACAAATATACAAATATACAAATATAAGTTCGGATAAAAAAAACAACAAAAAAACACAATATTTTGTTCTGGTTGGAAGCAATAACGGTATTTTATAAAAATTAATATTTTTTCAAGACAAAGTAAATGTTTGCCAATTCAGTGAACCAACTCAATGATATCGATGAAATCAAAGAAATCAATGAAATCAATGATATCAATGAAATCAATGATATCAATGATATCAATGAAATAATGAAATCAATGAAATCAATGAAATCAATGAAATCAATGATATCAATGAAATCAATGAAACTAAATTTATGTTTACCCACCACCATAGTTTCAGTAGAAGTAAATATTTTCATTTACATGATAGCGCCGATTGAAGGATTCATAAATCTAATTGAATAATGAGATAGATAAAAAGATAGATATTGCCGCCATACTATTTCTATTGGTTCAGAATAGACAACAAACACATGACTGAACCCTGATTGGATCAGGCGCTAATGGACTCGGCATATAGGAGGGCAATGGAGGTTTAAAGGTTTAAAGGTTTGAATTTAAATGGAAAATGGAATATTCCAACCACAATTCCTTTCAGTTTAAGAAAATAAGATAAAAAACGGACAATTGAGAAATAAAAAAAGCATTAAAAAGATGAAAATCATGAATATTGCTTGAACGTTATAAAAAACATGTCGGATAAAATGCTATGGAAGGGGGATGGTTAAGGTTGGAAATGCCGAATTCAGTTTTCCTGAGAATAGATTTGTATATTGTGGGTGCGGGTCTTCTAGAGTTTAGAATCCAGGTTGATTCTACAGTTAGAGATAGAAACTTATAAAAGAACGGAACAGGCTCAGCTTGTTTAAAAATGGTTAATCTTATTCTGTTCCCCTGACCTCAACCGTTCAGAGATTCGGACATTGAGAGGTCGGTCAATTTTTTCATTCAAATATTACATATATAATAAGATAATGAATTTTACTTCTATTAAATTTTGCATATCCATTGACATCTAAACAATAATGTGGAAGATATCTTTGTTTTTCTAGCTTCAAAAGTATCTAATTCTGAGGACTTTTCTCACAGAAATACGCATGCAAGAAACGATTGAAAATAATACAGTTTTCAATCGATTATTTATACATGCTGAATCCGAATTTAATGAATTTGAGCCGCGTCTCAAATCCGCCAAAAACCGGTTTTAATTAAGTACAGTCTTAAATCTTGAAACATTGAATACAATTTTAAGTGAAATCAACCAAATATTTGAGCCGCGTCTCATATTTAAGCCACGGCTCAAATTCTTTAAATTCGGCCTCAGATCTATAATTTATTCTTGATCTGTCAAATATTTAAAGGTTTTCCTTGTGAATCGAACATTTTAAACGGAGAGTCAATTGATATTACGACTACAGTCACTTTAAAAAAACCCTGTCCAACAACGCATTTGTTGGATAAATAGATAAATGTTTTGTCCTTTCCTTTAATTTTTATTCATTTTCCTTAACTCCCCCTACCATCCCTCCTATCAATTTCCCACATTTATTTCATTATGATTCTCAATATTAATAAATAATGAGAAAATAATGTATACTCCAAATGTACTCAATATAATTCATTTATATCCAAATATTCTGTAACTAAGTTCTAGCCAATGAGAGTAGAATAAAGGAGTTTTGTTTACACTTTATTGTGACGTATTAGGACAGCTGAGGAAGTGTAAACAATACCAATAATTGTAGACTGGAGAGCTTTTAAATTTTTACCAAAATATAAATTCTACTAAAGAGTTTTCTAGTTTACTGATAGAATGTAATCCCCCTATTTCCCTTCTCCTTATTTCTAAAACTCGTAATGTATAAAACCCGTAATTCATGATCGTTCATCAACGATCGCAATCCATGAAATTGTACATCAACGATCGTAATCCATAATTGTACAGCATACATCAACAAACGTAATCCATAACTTTACAGCATACATCAACGATCGTAATCCATAATTATACAGTATACATCAACGATCAAAATCCATGATTGTAGTACACAGTACAACTTATATCAACGATCAAAATCCATGATTGTACAGCATACATCAACGATCGTAATCCATAATTATACAGTATACATCAACGATCAAAATCCATGATTGTATAGCGTACATTACCGATCGAAATCCATGAAAATACAGTGTACATCAACAATCGAAATTATATTTGTACACAGTACAACTTATATCAACGATCAAAATCCATGAATGTATAGCGTACATCACCGATCGAAATCCATGATTGTACAGCGTACATCAACGATCGAAATCCATGATTGTACACTGCACAGATTACAACAACAATCATATAATCCAAAATTATACATCAATGATCGTAATCCATGATTGAACATCAATGATCATAATTCCTGATCGTATATCAACGATCATAATCCAAGATCGTAAATCAACGATCGAATACTGACCTCCGTGATCCGTTTAAACTCTTCTCTGAGTCTGAGACTTCCATCTCTGTGAGAAGGGATCTGTTCCCATGAGGACTCAGGGACGTACTAAATATACTAAATTAGTTCTCAGCTTTAGTTAAGACTAATTGTACTAAATTAAATTTAAAATTCGGTGATGGTAATGGACCAAACCTCTGTAGAGTAAAAAAAGTAGATGTTAGTTCCACATTTTATTAAAAATATAATTCGGTCTTTGTTGACCCTCGTCAGTTCTAACGATATATAACCATTAAAATCGATAAAAAATTTTAAAATCCACAAGTAAATAAACAAACAAAAAAGATCATTTAAACAAATTTGGGCTTTCAAATGGACAAAAGGGAAACGAACTCAGATTATGAGATCGAAAAAAGATAATTTGTAAATATTCACTTTTAAAAAAATGTTTTAAGACAATTATTATTCCTTGAAATTGTTTCTGTCACGTCAGGAAGATTAAAAACAAACTGTTTAGATGTATGTGTATAAAGTAGTGGTGGGGGTCGATCTAATTAACTAACTTTTACGCGTAAAGCTCTATAGCTAAAACTAAATATACTATTATGAAATTGTTAAAATATTTTTTAAATTTTTTTATCACATTTAATCTTTAAAGCCTTAAATCCGAACAAAACTAAAATTTAGAAAGTTTTGTGTATAACGTTGATAATCCCAATTTTTTTACTCACACTTTACTGAATATACTAAAAAAAATAGCCAGTTGTTAAAAATGAATGCTCTAAAGAACATGAGTAAATAAGGGAGCCAGGTTTTAAAAATTAATGCTCTAAAGAGCATGAGTAAAAAGGGGAGCCAGGTGTTAAAAATGAATGCTCTAAAGAGCATGAGTAAATAAGGGAGCCAGGTGCTAAAAATGAACGCTCTAAAGAGCATGAGTAAATAAGGGAGCCAGGTGTTAAAATTTAATGCTCTAAAGAGCATGAGTAAATAGGGGAGCCAGGTGTTAAAAATGAATGGTCTAAAGAGCATGAGTAAATAAGGGAGCCAGGTGCTAAAAATGAACGCTCTAAAGAGCATGAGTAAATAAGGGAGCCAGGTGTTAAAAATCAATTCTTTGAAGAGCACGAGTAACAGGAACTAGTAGGAGGGATGGATAGAGTAGATATAAGTAGGGAGGGACAAGGTAGAATGGGAGGGAGGAGAGTAGAGAGGGGTAAAGGACAGAGTAGAGAGGCGCGAGGGACAGAGTTAAGAGGGAGGGAGGGAAAAAGTAGAGAGGGAGGAGGGACAGAGTATAGATTGGGGGAGGGACAGAGTATAGATTGGGGGAGGGACAAAGTAGAGAGGGATGGAGGGACAAGGTAGATAGGGAAGGAGGGACAGAGTAGAGAGGGGTGAGGAAGGGTCAGAGTAGAAAGAATTATGAAAGCGAGTACTCGAGTGGGTTGATTTATATAAAAGACTTAATTCCTGTGACGACTGACGAGGGATAACAAGATTTGAAGTAGAGACAGAATTTAGACCAATGAATAATAAAGCAGGATTAAACATGTAACCCTGTTCAGCAGGAATGTTTGCGCTATGCTTAGTATGTTGTGCACTTAAAGAAATGTGACTTTGTGTCTGCATTTGTTACAGGGCTATACAAAAGCAAAACTTTGTGTTTAATCTTATTGAGAGAAACAATCTCAAGAACGGACGAAGGTTAACCCAGACCGAAATATATTTTTAATAAATGTGAAACTAACATCTCCTTTTCTTTTACTCTACAGAGGTTTCCTCAGGTCTCGAATTAGTTTGCACAATTAAGAAAATAGTTCACAAAAAAACATGAATTCACGATTTTTTGCTCTTTAAAGGGACTCTCCATGTAAAGATAGCAATGGACGATTCACAACGCTTAACCTTTATCTGATCAATAATAATTATGAAATCGTTGTTTTTTCTAGGTTTAACATGTTTCATTCTGATCATTACTGCTTATGATATTACTTGATCAGACAAAGCTTTCAAGGGGACCGTTGTGAATCAGGCATTTGAAAATACGCGTGCAGTCTCTTTCATTATCCCACCATTTTTCATCTCATGTTCAATAGAAACTCTGTGTAATGTCTCTGAAAGTCTAATATTCGTTGTCTCGTAGGATGAGTAAAACGTTTAGAATAGTAAATCTACGGTTACTTTCAAAATAAACCAGTCAAGTGTGAATTTATGTATTCTTCAAAACCAATCATTCATTAAATCAAGCTTTTCTCTCATTAATTAGAAAGAACGAACTGTTTGATGGGACTGTTCGGAAAAATCAAATGAGATGTAAATAGGTTAGTTATTAATTTATATAAAGATTAATAGAAATATAACGTTTCGTAAAAAATAAAAAAATGTTTACACATGTTGATTACACCATGCCTCGTTGAACATGTAAAAATAACGCTACCTTAGATGTTTGCGACATATATAACGTAAGAAGACTAAAACAGTTTTTAAGGTATAAATATTCAAATTTGAAAACATTCAGAACTTTGAAAATGCATTTTAAAATACTTTTAAGTAATTTAATTTTTACCTTCTATACATAGTATCTAGCCTATCTGCTAAAGATGAATTTGTAGATTTTAACTCTTCTATTTCTTTACGGTGTGTTCGAATCTAAAATAATAATAATAATAATGATAATGAGTAAATAAGGGAGCCAGGTGTTAAAAATCAATTCTTTGAAGAGCACGAGTAACAGGAACTAGTAGGAGGGATGGATAGAGTAGATATAAGTAATAATAATAATAATAATAATAATAATAATAATAATAATAATAATAATAATAATAGTAATAATAGTAATAATAATAATAATGATAATGATATTAATAATGATAATAAGAATAATGATCGTACAATGCTATCCTGTTCCCTGGATTCCTTCTCTAGCATAACGATCCTGTCAGCGCTCTCGTCTAGCGTGCTGGTCAAACCGTCCCGCTCTGCGTACAGGTTCTACAGATACAGTACATAAGTAAAAGAGTCGTGTCGGTAAAATTTTTGGCGTCTTGCTGGCACAGCATTAATCACAGACGGTGGGGCGAGTATGAGGCCCACCGAAAGCTTGGTGGAGGGTGAGACCCTGCCTAATGGCTATATATTCACAAGCTAAAGGGACTATAAGACCTGATTTCAAGAATTGCAAAACAGAAAGCAAAAATCCAGGGAATGGCAAAAAGTAGGCACAAAGAAAAAAGAAGAATAACGAATCTTTTAACAAAAGGAAAACAGAAAAAGAAAAAGAAAGAGAATCGCAGAAGAATAAGAAAATAAGTAAGATAAGGGGGGAGGGGGATCAATACTTGCCGAATTTCAAGTCATTTATTACAAATGCAATTCTTAATGACAGAAGAGTGTTGGTGGGTGTATACTGTTTATTTAGTTGTTTTGAAGCTTGTGTATACTAACTTTAAATCGGGTATCAATTTGTTTAATATTTTTGTCAAAGTTATAATGAAAATCATTTTATTTACAAATAAAAATAAAATTCTTTTCCTGACATCTTCCAAATTTTGAACTTGTTTTCAAGCATTGTGAAATGCAATTAAACCCAATAAAAATTATTACTATTTTAAAGATTTTTTCACACACAAAGATATAAATACATATATAAATGGTGTAGTTTAAATTTGTTTAATTAAATTTTTGAAAATTCAGGTTTCCAAAAGAAAAGAGAAAAATATGCAAAATTATGCACAAATAGACGACATTGATCATTACTCATTACATAACATATTTATCATTTCAGTCATCGAATCCTTCAACATATAAATTATTCGTTTTTGTATTTAAAAGTTCTTGTATTTAAAAGTTCTTGGATTTAAAAGTTCTTGTATTTAAAAGTTCTTGTAAAACCGGAACTTTCCATGCATGTGCCAATGGGACATCAAAATAATGCCGGACGAAAAATGGCGCGGTTCTGATAAATAACAAATAAACGCACTGTGGACAATTTTATTTTTGACGTAATTTGCAGTTCAGACGAGATGCACCTTCCCCCGCACTCCTCGTCAATAAAATTCTAATAATGGGGTTTTATAAAGAAAATTACGATATTCTAATAGTTGATATAAATAAACGGTTGATGGAGCAACGATAACGGACACAAGGATTAATCGAAAAATTGATTTTGAAAATAAAAACAATTTAAAACTTTTTTGTCTGTATTTTTGTATTTTTGTATTTTTGTATTTTTGCATTTTTGTATTTTAGTATTTTTGTATTTTTGTATTTTGTATTTTTGTATTTTTGTATTTTTGTATTTTCGTATTTTTGTAGTTTTGTATTTTTGTATTTTTGTATTTTTGTATTTTTGTATTTTTGTATTTTTGTATTTTTGTATTTTCGTATTTTTGTATTTTCGTATTTTTGTATTTTTGTATTTTTGTATTTTTGCATTTTATTAAATTTTGAAAATTTCTCACCTCAATTCTTCTTTCAAGATCTAATTTCTTCTCCATCATTATATTTATTTCATCCCTGGAATTTAAAAGAAAAAATTTAAAACAAAAACATTTTTGGATTTATTTTTTCAAGCATTTTCGTAATATATAAATTTATAAGAATTGTTATAAAACGGACTTCTATTTTTCAGAAAGAAATTGAGTCTTTGCCACAAACTTTGATTTTCTAATTCCAATATTTTTGCAGCCCAAGATGTTAGACCTGAGGGATTCGATATTTTAAACTGTAACTTGTTAGATCAAATAATTTAAGTTTGAAATTTTAAAGGATTACACCATCAGGTTGTACAGAAAATTTGAGTTTGGAAAATTTGAGTTTGTGGCAAAGACTCAATTTCTTTGGTTTCTCTCTTAACAGTCTTTAGTTATTTCTTATATTGTTACTCAGATTATTATAAAAATTCTTTTGTACATTACTTTAGTTTTCTAATCCTTATAGCTTAGCAACCTTAGATATTTCGGAGAATGAATTCAGATAGATCATATAGTGGTGAATGTTAGAAATTACACCATCAGGTTATACAAATATAGGGATAAAAAAAAATTAAGAGTGGTTAGTTCCTGTTTTTAATAATTGTATTTTTGTTATTACCTCAGAGTTTCTAGATGTGTCACATGTTCAGTCATAGAACTTTTCTTCATGTTCACCTTTAAATATAATTCATTAGTTTATAATATAGTTTGGGATTCCAGCTTGGCCTGAAAACAAAATCTTGCGATTAAAGACAACCCAATCAAAATTTAAGACTAGACGTTAATGAGGTGCATGAGTTATGATCGGACTTCTATACAGACAAACAAAAAGATAACACTACTTTATATATATTTATTTTATGATATTATGTTATATTATATTATAAAATCCGCGAACTTTTATTTGTTATTGTCTTACAATATACAAAGAGAAAATGTTCATAATTGAAAATGATTTCCTTGGATTCGGGGCACGTAACATTCAAAATATGTCCATGGACCCTGGGCACGTTATACAGAAAATACTGTCCATGGACACTGGGCACGTTATATAGCAAACAATTTCCAGGGGCCCTGGATATTTATGTAAAAAATATCATGGACCCTGGGCACGTTATAAAGCAAATAATGTACAGGGACCCTGGATATTTATGTAAAAAATATCATGGACCCTGGGCACGTTATACAGCAAATAATGTCCAGGGACCCTGAACATTTATGTAAAAATATGTCATGGTCCGTGGGCAAAGGATCGGGTGTACAGAAAGTGTCTATTCTTTACAGCATATCAAACTTAAGAAATTGCACTGTTAAAATTAAAATTAAAAAGTTTTTAATTATGACTTCGACTCCTTTTACTAAAGAACTATTTATAAAGAACAAAATATTTTGAATTTCTAATATGTAACTGGAGATAGATTTGCTATCCTCACACTTGTGCGTAAAATCTAAGCTAGAGGAGCTTTGAGGTCACAAACTCTAACCAGTAATAGCGCATAAATGAATTGAGTCTTTGCCACAAATTCGAATTTTCTAATCCCTACAACTTAAAAAAATATTGGCGTAAGCCTTTGGTATTTCAAACTTTGATAATTTAAACTAAGAGAATTCATAGTTTGAAATATCTAAGATCTACGACATTGGGTCAAAAAGAATTTGGGATTTGAAAATCAGAGTTTGTGGCACAGAATCAATTCCTTTGCCTTTCTGTCACGTTCAGTGTGACAAAACGTACAGTTATTGATTCCTTATTACATATTATAAAGCTTATCTGTTAGAAATCATAAATTAACCATAAATAAGATTAGGAATATGAATATGAAACCCTTCAAATTTTGTAAAAAAGAAAGCAAATGAAAAAATAAATTATTCCTTTATCTGCTACTCACGGCCCGGACTAACCAGAGTGAGAAGCATTCATATTTGAAATTAAGCGTTTTTTGATCTAATAGACAATAATCTTTTAATTTACGGATTTGCTAGTACTTTACTATTTTAATCAAAAAGTAATAAAAAAGCTAAAAAATTATGTTTAATTAGTAAAATTGTGATCGGCAGTCACAGCTTTCTGGAATATTGACTGAACATTTAAATCCACGTGTATTTATTCAAAAAATATTCGATGATCCTTTCCTAGCAGGGATTGCGGATTTTTCAGTTTTTTTTTAATATAGAAACCCAAGAAATATAAAAGACAATAATATAAAAAAGACAATATTCTTAATGATTCTGATTCATTCTTTTGATTTATTTCAATTAAAAACATAAATTAAATCTTTCCAGAAAGTTTTGAATTGCATGGAATAAATTTAAAAAACTTTTTAAAAAAATAATAGTTATTAATAATAATAATGTTTCTGATAAGAAAAAAGGAAGTTTAAATCATATAAAAAATCATGCTTTGTTTTTCATCATTGCGTAAAAGTATAATGAGGAAGGTTTTACTTTTTTATTGCTTTTGTCTCAAAGGATAAGATTGTCAACAGCTTCATGGCTCTTGGTTTTATTAATTAGAATTGCAACCCCCCCCCCCCAGTGCCTTCCCATTTATATACACCCTCCCCCTTTGCACTTCGCTATGAAAGATTTAAAAAAACTTTTAATCAATTTTATTTTAAAATGTGAATTTTAAAAGCGAATTTCATTTTAAAATGTGGATTTTAAAAGCGAATTTTATTTTAAAATGTGAATTTTAAAAGCGAATTTTATTTTAAAATGTGAAATTTAAAAGCGAATTTTATTTTAAAATGTGAATTATAAAAACAAATTTTTTACTGAGAAATACTTTTTCTTGTTAACCTATTCTTCTCATTTTATTCATAATTTATTTAATCTGTTTTAAGCTTCGATTTGAATTTTTAGTTGCTGCTCTATCTGAGGCGTTTTCTCTGTTCATAAATTATCAAACATTAACAAAAAGTGTTCGCTAATTTATCTTTTTTTTGTCGTGGATTAAAAAAACGATTTTTCTTATAAAAGGCAAAATATTTGAATCTTTTCCCCAAATTCAGATTTATTAATCCCTTTATCTTCGCAACCCAACGTTTTAAACCTTAGATATTTCAAAATAAGAATTTTGTTAGATTAAATAGATTGAAATTTCAAAGGTTTACACCACAGGTTGAAAAGATATAAAGATTATATAAAAATTAAGTTTGTGGCAAAGACTCAATGAACCATATATTTAAATAAAAAAAAAACATTAAGTTACCTGATCCCGCATAGATTGTAGTTCACAGGTTAATGATTCCTCAACCTTACTACTCTAAAATCATAAAAAAAATTATGAAAATAATAAAAATAATAATAATATATTGTGGATCATATAATAGGATGGTATTAAAATAAATGGCAATCAATCAGAATCAGAATATAGGTTTAATTTCCAAGTGTCCATTCATTTGTAGAGCGGAATATTTGATTGACAATGGTACCCTTTAAACCTTTTTATGAGGAGGGTATCGTTGTTGTTTTTAAAGAGAACACCCAGATAGGAATGAGAAATTTTCTTTATATATAAGGATAACTCATTCATCCTTGATCAGGCAAAGCTTGTTATGGTACTGTTGTGCATCGGATAACCAGTGGGCGGAAACGTCATGTGTGTGTGTCTGTACCAAAAAGAGTGTGCGTAAATTTACCGAACCGAAGGCGTGTACTGTAGGTATATACAGTACATACAAACCTCGGTATTTGTACAGTCCAGGAGAGTACACTTGTTTATTATTAATTGTTTACTTAAAAATAAGTTTAATATATACATGTAATATATTATTTACATATTTAAGTCAACACTATAAGCCAAATTTTCATTCAAAGAATATAACTTGAATAAAGTTTACAATAAATATAGTCGCTATTCTAGCTTAATTATAAATGACGACATTGTTCTGCAATTTCATGTTGTGTGTCTGTACCAAAAGAGTGTGTGTAAAGTTTACCGAACTTTTCTGCAAAGCAGTGCGATTGGCTTTCTCATGCCAGACCAGCGCCATTTCCTTTCCCTTTATTTCTATACCCTGCGGATAACCCTTTATCACCGGAGGGTTTTTTAAAGAAAGTTTACTGCTACTTTGATAGAAAAGTAATAATAGTTTTAATTCATTGTTTTTGTTATTTTTACAAAATTTCTAAAATAAATAATGTTGTTTTAGATAAAACAGGGATTATAGAATTCATAAATACCATTCATTCAATCTTTATTGACATATTTTTTCATCTTTGTTCCGAAAATAGAAGAAAGTTTTTAAAGAAGAAACATCGCCATCATTTATTCACAAGAATATAAGTGAAAATAATCAAAATTTGATCCATTTAAAGTTGGAAACTTGAGTTTAAATATTTTAAACAGATATCAAACAATTCAAACCCACACGCAGCCCCCCCCCCCTTCATGCGGGCAGTCCCCCCTTCCCACCTCGCCCTCCCCCTCACCCCTTTTCACAGAGTAAAAAATTGGAACCTCTTTATCTTAAATTTTTAACGTGAATAAAAAATACGATGTCCAATGCTAGATCTCGAATTAAAGGGACTGTAAGTATAAATTTAAGTAATCATCCATGCAAAGAAGACAATGCCCGATTTACAACGGTACTCTTGAAACTTAATCTGATCAAAACTGTGGAAGATAACGTTGCTTTTTTAACTCGAAAAACGTGTTTATTTTGTGAGTTTCTTCATTGCTTCTCGTAAAAACGAAATGCGAAAGTCACTTTCACAGAGAAACCGCAAATGTAAATTAAAATAAACAGTTTAAATAAACAAAAAACATAGATATCTAAATAATATTTGACCAGCCTAAGCTTTCAAAGGTCCCGTTGTAAATCGGCCATTGTCATCGTTTCATGAAGGGTTTCTTGAACTTAAGCTTACAGTCCCTTAAAGGTTAAGCTATGTAGCTCGATTTCAATCAAAAGTTTGGAGCAATGCGCGTAGGCAGGGGATGCCATGAGCCCTGCGATATGGTTTCCGAGCCACTGGATTCACCCATGAGTATTTAAAATTACCTGACGCTACCCCTATCCTTTAGATAAGATCTTATAGAAGTCATGTATACAAATTTTTAGAATAAATATTTAATATTTCAATAGTTAAGCAGTGTTTATTGGATATTTAAAAAACAATGCAGACAGAGGCGTATTCAAGGGGGGGGGGCTATTGGGGCTAAGCCCCCCCCCTGGACCAGTGAAATCTATTGATTTCAGGGGGTTTTCATGTCTCAACGGGTGCTAAGCCCCCCCCCCTGGAAAGAAAAAAGTTAAGCCCCTCCTGTACAAATTCCTGAATACGCCCCTGAATGAAGAACTATTTAAAGATATAATATTTTTTAAAAAAATGTTATTCATTACTTCTATAATATCTATTCTAACGTTTAGGGATAAAGCCAGGTCATTTTAGATACTCATTTGAGAATACGGAGGCTTGAAGACCATTTTGTGAGGCTCATGGCGGCCATGCAACCCCTGCCTCATTGGCGTAGCGGCGCACCAAATAAGTATTTCACGCTCAATAGAACAATTAGACGTTGACAGAGCTGAATAGAGAAGAGTGGGTGGGTCGTGTGAATTAGAATATAATCATATTAGAATTTCATGATAAATTCTGATCTGTGAGCTGAGATATTAGCATACTTCGCTCCTTCTCCTGTAACCGGGAATTCTTCTCAGTATCCTAAACATGTATTATATTTTAATAATTATCCACAAATGTAAATTTTTGAAAATATTCATTAATTTTTAGATTCGTTAATTTATAAATCACAAAATAAAAAAGTTTGAATAATTGAGTTGAAATTCCTAACACAAACGTCAAACAAAGGAATTATGTCTTTGCCACCAACTCAAATTTTCTAATTCCTATATCTTTACAACCTGGTAATGTAAACCTTTGATATTTTAAGCTTAGATTATTTGATCTAACAGAATTCATGGTTTGAAATATCTAAGTTCTACGACTTGGGTGAGTTTGCGGCAAAGACTCAATTCCTTTGTCAGCATTGATTAGATATTTCTCCAAATACTCCTTTTTAAAAATTACATCACTTAACAGTTTCAAACTCCGACCTGAATAATAATGCGGAGGTTGTTTATATCCGCCTGTAGTTCCGCCACTCTTAGATCATATTCTTCTTCCGCCGCATCCAGCTTTTTCCGGAGTAAATACTTTTCCTGTTCCAGTACCTGGATATCATTATATCATCATTATCATCATTATCATCATTATCATCATTATCATCATTATCATTATCATTATTATCATCATTATCATCATTATCATCATTATCATCATTATCATCATTATCATCATTATCATCATTATCATCATTAACATCATTATCATCATTATCATCATTATCATCATTATCATCATTAACATCATTATCATCATTATCATCATTATATACATTATATCATCATTATCATCATTATCTTCATCGTTATACAAGTAAGAGAAAGTTAAATAATTTTAGAATGCTAGCTCTTAAAATAAATCAAGAAGCGTGAAATTTGATACACAGAAAAATGATGAATTTGCACAATAGATATATTTATACTTTTTTCTTCATGCAACAACTTGAAATTACCCTAATGTGCACTTTAGTATTAAATCTAATTTCACAGGAATAACGCAAAAAAGCTTATAAACATCCTGGGATTTAAAATTTTCTTTTGTTGATTTTAATTTTTTACTAAATTATGTCGTTATTTTATCATTTTATCATTTATTTGATCATTCGTATCTTATTTCTTCATTATTCCTCATTTCATTCATCATTCATTCAACCTTCATTTATTCTTTTAATCTTCATTCATTCAACATTCATTCATTCATCCTTCATTCATCCTTCATTTATTCATTTTATCTTCATTCATTCAACCTTCATTCATTCATCCTTCATTCAACCTTCATTCATTCATCCTTCATTCATCCTTCATTTATTCTTTTAATCTTCATTCATTCAACTTTCATTCATTTATCCTTCATTCATCATCCATTCATCCTTCATTCATCATTCATTCATCCTTTATTCATCCTACTAATCTTCATTCATTCATCCATCATTTCATCCTCAGATTGAACTAAAGAAATAAGAATATTCAAATATAAATTCAGAATAATTTGGCGGGAAAATGCAGAACAAACGTGAAAATATACATTGAATGTTCCCATATGCATTAAGTTGTCCTTGCTCCTCCTCCCCCCTAACATCCTTGTATTCTTGTATCCTTGTATCCTTGTATCCTTGTATACTTGTATTCTTGTATCCTTGTAACCTTGTATCCTTGCATCCTTGTATCCTTGTATCCTTGTATCCTTGTATCCTTGTATGCTTGTATCCTTGTATCCTTGTATCCTTGTATGCTTGTATCCTTGTATCCTTGTATCCTTGTATCCTTGTATCCTTGCTAAAATGAAGATATATTCTTAATTTCTGTCTAAAAAAGTTTTCTATTGTCAATTATAATTGTAGATTATGAAATATTTGACGGAAATGTTTTTTTAAAGATAGATAATGTCGAAGATATCCTACTAACTGTTACCCGGAAAAGAATCTGAAGGGTACTGTTGTGAGTCGGACTTTCATCTCTAAAAAATTGAGTTTACGTCGATAGAATTTCCTCCAAACCAGAATACCGACAATTTGAAGCCAATTTGCATTTCTTTCAACAAAATTTGCAAATGGAAATGGAAATGTGTTTCCGCATTGATCTTGCACACTTCACCAGGACTGTGTCACTGTAGACGTGATTAAACGATTATTTTTGCAACAAATGATGGGACCAGCTGTTCATAGAAGTTTTGAACTATGAAATAAACGGAATAATTGAAAACTTATCAGCTCTGATCTAATATAGAAGTTAAATATATTGGTATCTGTACAAAAAAAAAGTGTACATAACGTAGCATATCATTTGTAGAATACACAATATCAGATAAAAATAAAGAAATTTTGATATTCCTTATGCTGACATGTATTTCTATTGAAATGTCAATCATGCCTGGATAAACTGTTTCAATATTGTTATCAGAACTGTCAAATTAATACAAAATCATTTCGACTTTACATATGTCCAATCTCCATTCTCTAAACAATTTCACATGCATTCAATTTTTGTGTGAACAACTGTTAAAAGAAAATGGGGAAAATTCTAAACACGAAAGACATAAGGTTTTCTTATTCCTCTATTTTTAGTATATCTATTAAATTTTATATATTTGCAACATGATTTCTATAGTATTGAAAAGTAGCCCACTTTTTATCATTAAACCCATTTTGTATCATTAAACCCACTTTAAAGTGACTTT